GTTTTAGACTGTATTATGTTTTAATCTCTTAAAGTTTAATCTTGTTTTAGGGTGTGGGAGGGGGGTTATGGGGATAAGTTTGTTTTAACTTTGTATGTTTTAAAATGTTGTAACCCACCCCTATTGCGGAGCAGAGGGGTGGGCTAGAAATAAAAAAATTATTATTATTATTATTATTATTATTATTATTATTATTATTATTATTATTATTTTCACACGTAATTATAGTAATAACGGAATTAAGTTAAAAGCGAAAAAAGACGTTTTTAACTTTCATACACAAGTGAAAAAAACCCATACATGTACTGGAAATGGGTGTGTTTGTGACCAGACTCCTCCTCTTTCCAGGGCGGGTCCTACATTTTCCAGGAGGAAATGTCAGACTGTTCTACATTTGGGGTCATGTCCTCCTGCACAGGTCCTAACCCCCTTCCATTGGGGTTAGGACCTCTCAAGAGAGCAGATGAGGAGGAGGAGGCGGCTGGAAAGGCAAGGCAAGGCAAGGGAGGGATTGAGAGGGGGAAACTGGAGGTAGCTCCCATGCCCCCCCCCCATAAGCCTTTCCCCTTTGTAGGACCTTCAGGGCAGAACTTCATGGTGAGATGGATTTCCAAGTTGCTCCACAAGCACACCTCACGCTTGCATTTCCTCTAAACTCCTGAAATTAAAAAGATATCAGATAATACCAGTTTCTGTCCAGTTTCTGTGTGACGTCATGTGAAATCGTGAGGCACAAATTCAGTTTTAGTTTGGGATTTGTGTGGATTAACCAACAGATTTCCCCCATGTGATAACATCCTTACAAAGGTTGGGAATAGGATTCAGCATCTGACACCAGGCTAAAACTTGGAGGAAGAATGGAGGAGGTTGCTGTTAAAAAGTGAGGATGGAGTCCCACAATAACGAAGCTACAGGCTGCACTTGGCTATGCTTGAAAGGAAAGAATGTTTTATTATCTGACATTCATCCCATACAAGGCAAGATTTGTTTTGTTTTGTTTGGAATAGATTTTTAAAATGTGAACTGTAGTCCAATACAGGTTTTTTTTTTAAGACTATCTGATCTGTGGGGTAGCCTCTCATTCCCTGATTTGTGCCAGTACAGTGTTTGTATCAATTGGCTAAAACTGTTTCTTTCTTTGCTGGAAGCTTGCTGTGGACCAACATCCAATGGCTCATGGACTGATACTGGTGCAGGATCCACCACTTCGAGTAGCACTGATCTAATGCCCCCCTTTTTTCCTTCTTTTGGATAGTTTATTGCTTCTGGATCAATGTCTATTTCAGCTGAGAAACGTCTGACTCAAGGATTGGTGAGAGAATGATAGATACACAACTGTTTTATGTCTTCTATAATGCTGGGAATAGCAAAAAGCAAACTTTATTTTCATTACACTTTGGGAAACAATTTCTACAACCTACGTTATTCATACAGTTCATATGAACAAGGATCACCAGAAGTTGGGGTTCAGGGACAGGAGGCATACATATCAGAGTTCCATGAATTCCCACCCACCTTGTTCATATGAACTGTGTGCTCTTGAACACATCTCATTCTGCTGCAAATTAAGACCATCCTGAATGGATGGGAAATATTTAAAACTGGGCCAAAACTAAGGACTTTATCACACAGGTAAAAACAGGAAAAATTGAGGGTTTAAAGAGCCATTATCCCATGAAAATCGTGTCATCCAGGTAAAGATTTTTACATGACATTGTGGTTAAAGAGCCATTATCCCAGGAATAACCAGGCAATAACCAACAACAAA